GGACTGCACTCTTGGAGCTCTACTGCTTTCTGGGAGGGCAGGAAGTTCACTTCATAGATGTAGTTCTCTTGGGAAGCAGCAGAGAGGAGTACTATACTACTACATACATGATCTACAAACTGTGAACTTGGGTTCAGAGTATCTTTTTCAATTCTAAAATGAGACTGAAGCGCCAGAGTGCAGCTTTCATAAACATGAACACAGGTATCTGCCAATGAATAAAGACTAAAGTGCAAGATGTAAGCTTTAAAGTTCATGTTCTAATAACTTCTTCTGTTTAGCACTACCAGATAGCTATAAAACACATCAAATGAAACCAATGAATGTATAAAAGAACTCCTCCCCTATTTTCATTATGACCAATTGCATAAATCTAACACGTCAGCATTTGTCAACTCATTCATTCATTTTCTGAGTGCTAGCGTAGTGGTTACGAATCAGGCTGCTAATCTCATGGACAGCAGTTCGAAACTACCAGCTGTTCCGCGGGAGAAAGATGAGGCTTTTTTCTCCTGTAAAGATTTACAGTACATTAACAGGTAACTGCCAGAAATTCAAGGCACATTTAGAAAAGGATATGGAATGAGGGATATATCATGGTTAATGTCAAATAAATTTTAGCTGAAAAGCAGAGGATACCAATAGTGGGCATCCTGGTGTGGCAGTGCAGGATAATGCACTGGACTGCAAGGTTAGTTTGAGCTGCAAGGTTGCCGGTTAAAGCCCTCCTCAGAAACGATACATAGTTGCTCTTAGTTGGAACTGATTCAATGGCACTTAACAACAACCAGAACTATGTTTACTTGTGTCTGAAAGGCTATGCAAAAGCATTTGACTGTGTGGATCATAACATACTCTGGAGAATAATGTGAAGACTGAGAATTCCAGAACCCTTAATTACACTCATGTAGAGCTTGCTTGTAGCCTAAGAGGTAGTCGTTCGAGTAAAACAAGGGGAAATTGAGTGGTTTCAAATCAGGAAACATGTGCATCATGGTTGTTTCCTTTCACCATACTTATTCAATCTGTATGCTGAGCAAATAATCTGAGCAGATGAGCTATAAGAAGAGCATGGCATTAGAACTGGAGGATGACTCATTAACAACCTGAGATATGGAGATAACACAACCTTGCCTGCTGAGAGCAAAGGACTTGAAATACTAAAGAAAATCTAAGACAACAGCCTTCGGTATAGATTGTACCTAGACATAAAATAAAAATCCTGAGACTGGATCATAAGTAACATCATGATAAACAGAGAAAAGACTGAAGTTATCAAAGATTTTATTTTGCTTGGATCCATAATTCACGCTCATAAAAGCAGCAGCCAAGAAATACGCTGACATTGGGCATATCTTCTGCAAAAGACCTCTCTAAAGTGTTAAGAGTCAAGATGGCACTTTGAGGACTAAGATGTGCCTGGAACCAAGCCATGGTATTTTCAATCACCTCATATGCATGTGAGAGCTGGATAATGAAAAAGGAAGACTAAAGAAGAATCGATGCCTTTGAATTACGATGTTAGCGAAGAATATTGAATAGACCTCAGACTGATAGAAGAATGAACAAATCTATGTTGGAAGAAGTGCAGTAAGACTACTCCTTAGGAGGAATGATGGTGAATATGACATCATGCTTGGAAAAGTAGATGGTCTGTGAAAAAGAGGAAGACCCTCAACAAGGTGGATAGATTCAGTGGCTGCAATAATGGGCTCAAGTGTAACAATCATAGTGAGAATGGTGCAGGACTGGCCAGTGTGCTGTGTAGTACACAGGGTTGATACGAGTCGGAATGGACTCAATGGCACCTAACAATAACAACACGCTTTAGGATCATGAGCAATGCAGAATGAGTAAGAGTGTTTGCCTTCAAGGATATTACAGCCTGATGAAGGACATAAAACCCCCAAATAACTACAAACAAGGCAAAAAGCAGGATCATGAAAGACACTAATAAGATACAACTTTGGGAACATTGGAAGGAAGGAGTGATTAATTTCTTCAGGGGTAGCAAAAAACAAAACCTCTTGCTGAGAGACAATCCCAACTCATGGAGAATAACTCACAGGGCTTTATTGGCTGTCATTTTAATGGGAAATCCTAGTGTGGTGCTGTAGGATGAGCACTTGGCTACTCACCACAGGTTGGCGGTTCAAGCCTATCAGCCGCTCCTCAGAAGCCCTATATAGGGTCGTTATGAGTCAGAACTGACTCCATGGCACTTATAAACAATAATTGTAATGGAAGCAGATTGCCAGGTCTTGCTTCTGTGGAGTTCCTAGGTGGGTTTGAACAGTCAGTCTTTAAGTTAGCATCTGACTGCAAACCAGACTCTTAGAGGGGAGTAGAAGGGGACATCTGAGCCAGGCATAGAGAAGTAAGAAACATGTTAGCATTTCTGATGGCTGTTAAGATGTCAGTTCTTAAATCAGTTTACTTATAATTCCTTAACTTTCCACACTTGAAGTCCTAGTTCCTGTATGACACAATCCATTTCAAAATGTTTATGTCTAGGAAGTGGAGTGTGGTCCTTTTTCTCCTCTAGAAATACTAACAATAAATACCACTTCCGTATGAAAAATTGTGATTATAGGTCTTTATATCATGCCATGTGTATATAAATGAATGTCTCCTATACTATATGGATCTTCCCTTTCAGAAGAAAAAGATAAAATCAAGATTTCTTAAGAGAGGGAATTTTTTAAAAATGCAGTACCCTACAGGAAACGTATCCTTTATGAGTGCCATGAAGTTCCAACTATCATTCTTCCAAAGAAAGTCTCAATTTGTTCCAGTGTCTTTCCTAGCTGCTAACAGTTCTTTATGTCCTCATCGGAAATACGGAGCATGCAGTACAATGTAGATACCGAAAAGTCATGTATTTATGATAGCCTCTCCCCTTTTCTCTGTCTGTGAAATAATTTGTCTAAGTTTTCCTGTCTGAACATATCAACTTTCAGCAAGAATGGAATGTTAATTGATGCTACGCACAAGCTGGGCTATCATTCCTCAGATTCAACAAGAAACCAAACCAAACCAAACAAAAACCAACTCGTTTTCCTGTTTTTATTGATGGTTGTTAGTGCCCTTTTTTGGGGGTGGGAGGAGTAAGCAAAATAAAGTGTGTCATTGCTCACCCTTCCCTCCATAGTGTACCCTAGAAGAACAGTTCTTTCCACTGGCTCCCCTGATGATTCTCCGGATCACAAGGCCTATTCAAGCTTCTCCCCAGGGCCCTGAAACAACATGCACATAACTTCCTAGGGAAGCCCGCAGCTTACCTCACCCTTCCACTGGGGAAGCACAGACTCAACCCTTTCTGGCGTGGTTACTAAAGAACACAAGGGCTCCCTTGACCTGGCCCAAAACTAAGACCTGTCCTTTATCATCGTCTGGTACCTTGTCTTCTTAAAAGAAATAGTGTGTGCTGAGCAGAAAGGAAACAAAGATTTATCTTTAAACAATGACAGTATACTCCAAGGACTGCATTGTCAAACTACTGAAGTCCTGGGTAAAGTATATAATGTTATGACTATGAGAGGTCTTACATGTCCAGAGCATTGTATTCATACTCCTGTGGTAAGAGGTAGGAGATGGCTGTAAGTTGGATCATTTACTATTACAAGTTATCTCTGTCTGAGAATTTCCATCTCCTCTCCCCGAATTTCTACTCCTGTTCCCCAGAAAAAGGATTCGTGGAATTTGGGGTAGAACAGTTCTTTGTTGTGCAGAATGTTAGCCTCCCTGAAGTACATCCACTGAATACCAGGAACAGCCATCCTCCATCTCCCAAAGATGCTCCATTCATTTCTTAATAGTTTCACCCCTGAGGGAGGGAGTGGGTACTGACCCTGCTTGAGATAACTTCAAGGATAACTCAGATGTGAAGAATAATATACTGGCCCAAGAGGATGGTTTTTCCTAAGGCTTACTGTTGTACCTTTGAGGGCAGCATGTTTCTAGTATTCATTGAATTGAAGGGATTCTTCTCTGCAATCTCCTGCACAGCAGAGGAGGCACTCCTTGGCTTTTTGTGTTTATGAATGGTTTACGAACAGGTCTGTAACGGGAAACGTTACTAGTGCCTAAACTTATTGCCATTGAGTCAATTCTGACTGACAGAACAGAGAGTTACCCCACAGTTTCCAAGGCTGTCATCTTTAAGGGAGCAGACTGCCGCATCTTTTTCCTGTGATGCAATCAGTAGGTTCAAACTGCCAGTCTTTCGAGTACTTACCCACAGTACCACCAGCGTTCCTCTAGTATTATCTATGTGCTTGCTACCAAAAGGTCCCTCTTTTTATATTTTGGGTGAATTTCATAAAAATTCACCTCAGAAACAAAGAATTTTACAGAGATATAGAAGCTTAACAAAGTAAATAGTTCTCATGGTTTTGCATCCGAATGAGACAAATGGTAGGCTACCATAAGTGCCGATGTTTGACAAAAAAGGGCCCTTGGGTTGATTGTTTCTATTCTGGGTTGGATGAAGCCTTCACCTGGAAGGGCGGCACTACATGTTCAAGGGTCATCTCTAAGTAAATTCCATTTCTTCTTCACCATCAGCACCAGTGTGCTAGGGAATGTGTTCACAGACCTGCTCTTCCTCAAATTAGGAAGCTGCAGACAGGTCAGGGGAAGCTCCTAGAGAAGTTCTTTGTCCCCTGACAATGAGCTGGGTCCCCCAGACATGACATATGCAGTTCTGAAAATAGTGGTTATGGCAAAAAGTGCTTGGATACATGTATCTGATTCCTTTCTAGTGGCTAAGATATAACGTGTTATTTTTTGCCATGGGTCATGTCCACAACAAGTCCAGCCTAGAAGTGTCTGTAGTTGTAAACACATTTGCCCTACCCACTGCTATGAAAAAAGCACAGACATTCTGTCCACCAACTGACCACAGCAGCAACAGAATTAAGGACATGAAAGGGGGGTATTTAGCCATTTAAACTGTGAAAAAAACAAGTTTAATAGAAGAACAGCACTGTCTCACTCACCACTGAGGTAAGCGCCATTTGAAAACTGTAGATTCGAGCAAGGCCAAAGTCGGCCAGCTTTATTTGTCCACTGCTGGTCACCAGAATGTTCTGTGGTTTCAGATCGCGATGCACTACTCGGTGAGAGTGAAGAAAGTCCAGACCTCGGAGAAGCTGAAACATCATGTCCTAAATAAAACCAAAAGAGAAAATAAAGTAAGTAAGAGAGCAAAATAAATTCTACATGGACCATATTCAACGCTGAACTTGCAGCACTTAAGAGGCTGCTTAGTATATAGTGAACATGTGATAAATATTTGCTAAATGAATTCATCTCCATTCTTACTTTTCCATTCACTCATTCTCAAGAACACTATAAAACATGTCACTCTCAACATGTATTTTATTAACAAAAGGACAACTTTAAAATAGCTCATGAGTTCTGTCTAAGGTGCAAAATTAATGGTCTCTCCATGTGCGGAAGAAAGAAGAGTGATACACACTGAAGAGGCTTGGAATCAATCAGTCCAATGGACTAATGGAACGTGTGAACATCAGTTTTCAGGACTCTGAGAACAGAAGAACTAGACTGTGCCCAGTTACCATTAAAGGGTTCACATTAAAGGGTCCCGGATAGAGTGGGAGAAAATGTGGAACAAAATTCAAAATTATTAAAAAAAAAAAAAAATTCAAAAAATCAGGTTTACAGTCAGAAAGAGACTGGAGGAACCTAACACTATGGCCCTCGACCACCCTTCAAGTCTGGAAAGGAACTCGCCCTTGTGGCCCAATTTTCAGTCAAGCAGTAGATAGGCTTATAAGGAGGGAGGGGAAAGGGACAACGTATGTAAATGTTCATCATGGTATGGTCAATTATTCAAAAATCCAAAGGGCAACATTTTCCTAAGGACAAAGTTGAGAAGGATGGGGATGGGAAGATAAGTGGAGTGCAAGTAGGATTCACAGGAAGGAAGCGGAACGAACTATTGTTGAGCGGAGGGGATTGTCATCACTGAGATGAAACAAAGTGCATGATTTGTTGAATGTAAAACTAATGACTTTGTAAACCTTCACTCAATTCACAATAAAAAGTTTAAAAAAAAAAAGAATGGGTCTGCATTTATAGAAAAGAGTTTCTCTCCTAACCAGTCAATAAACAAATAAAAATTAAAATAAAATAGCTTGACATGGTATAGGAAATGCGCTAGAAGGGCAAACGCTGAATTGTTTATGCTGGAGAGAGGAAGGAGAAGGTAGTGAGAAGTGAATACTTTTGACCTGCAAACTTCTATATTGTCTGACACATTATTTCAAAAATTAAATCCAGTGAGTAATATTATTATTAATGGCAATGATTATTTTAATAGTCCCTAAATGCTAAGCAGTCATTACCTGTTAGGCAGGATTGCATTTGTAAGGTATTGATTCCATACCACAATCTTGAGGGAAGTAATATCATAACCTTCACCTCACAAGGGCAAGAAGTTAACTGATACACAGGAGTAGTCAGACTGTTTTAGACAGAGGCAGAGCCTTGATTTAACCCAGAGTCTGGACAACTGGATTCAAGTCTTCAGTGTTGTTTAGCAGGTCACTGAACAAGTAAGCATGAAACACTGCATAAGGTATTTAGTTCCTCTGAGCTTCCATTTGCCCATCTGTGAAGTAGGAAATTATTGACCAAATATCATTCATATTTTAATATTGTTTGCTGGTGTTAAGTGCCATCGAGTAGCAACCCTCTATGGGGTTTCTAAGGAGTGGCTGGTGAGCTTGAACTGCTGATCTTGCAGTTCAAACAGACCTTGAAATCCAGTACATTAACCCATAGTGCACATCAGGACTCTATTTTAATATTGCACTCAAGTAAAGTTTTGCTGAAAATAATTAGAAACTGGTTGTAGCAGTACATCAACAGGAAATGCCAGAAATTCAAGCTAGATTCAAAAGAGGACATGGAATGAGGGATACCACAGCTAATGTTAGATGGGTATTGGCTGAAGCAGAGAATACCATTGACTATGCAAATCATTCAACTGCATGAAGTATAACAAACTACGGATAACATTGCAGAGAGTGAGAATTCCAGACCACTTCATTGCTCACATGGAACTTGTACATAGACATAAAATCAGAAAAGGTGAGTGTTAGGGTTGTATCCTTTCACCATACTCATTTAATCTGTAGGCTGAGTAAGTAATCCAAGAAACTCAACTATATGAAGAACATGGTATCAGGATTGGAGAAAGACTCATTAACAATCTGTGACATGTAGATGACACAAGCTAGCTTGCTGAGCAGTAAGAAGACTTGACGCACATACTGATGAAGATAAAGACTACAGCCTCAGTATGGATTACATCTTAACACAAAGAAAATAAAAAATTCTCACAACTGGATCAATAAGCAGCACCAGGATAAATGAAAAAAAAAAAGAAGGAAGTGGTCAAAAATTTCATTTTAATGGGATTCACAATCATTGCCCATGGAAGTTATAGCCAAGAAATCAAGTGACGAACTGCTTTGGGCAATTCTTCTGCAAAAGATTTCTTTAAAGTGTTAAAAAGTAACAATGAAACAAAACAAAATAAAAAACACCCAACAGTACCAAAAAAAAAAAAAGTAACGATGTCACTTTGAAGACTAAGGTGTACCAAGTCATGGCATTTTCAATTGTCTTGTGTGCATGCAAAAGTAGATGATTAGGAAATACTGAAGATGAACTGATGCCTTTGAATTTTGGTGCTGTTGAAGAACAGTGAATACACCATGGGCTTCCAGAATAATTATCTGGAAGAATTACAGCCAGAATGTTCAGAAGGGAAGATGGTGAGACTTGGTTTCACCTACTTTGGACATGTATTTGAGAAGGCCCAGTCCCTAGAGAAGGACATCTTGGGAATAAGAGGAAGACTCTCAACAAGACTGACCGACACAGTGGTTGTGAACCATGGACTCAAACACAACAATGGTTGTGAGGATGGCACAGGACCAGGAGTGTTTCGTGCACGGTGTCACTATTTGTTGGAACAGACTTGATGGCACCTAACAACAACAACAATAAAGAGTGGGAAAATAGCAAAACCTACTTCACAGAAGTACCATAGTAAGCATTCAAAAGGTGGAACTTTTTGGTATTATTATTAACCAGCATAGAGCAGGTAGGCAATAAATAAACCAATGTTATATTTTATTTATTTATCTTTAATATAGTTTGGGTGAAAGTTTACAGAGCTAAATAGTTTTCCTTACATCTTCTAAATTTGTTGTTGTTGTTGTTGTTAGGTACCCATAGTGACCGAGTCGGTACGGACCCATAGTGACCTTATGCACAGCAGAATGAAACACTGCCCAATCCTGGGCCAGTCTCACTACTGTTGACACGCTTGAGTCCATCGATGCTGCCACTTGGCCAATCCATCTCATTGGGGGTCCTCCTTTTTTCTCTGACCCTCCACCTTACCAAACATGATATTCTTCTCCAGTGACTGGTCCCACCTGACAATATGTCTGAAGTATGAAAAACGAAATTTGGCCATTGTGGCCTCCAAGGAGCACTCTGGTTGCACTTCTTCCAAATGGATCTATTGGTTCTTTTGGCTGCCCAAGGCACTTTCAATATTCTCCTCCAACACCGTAACTCAAAAGCATGAATTCTTCTACAGTCTTCCTTATTCACTGTCCAGCTTTCACATGCATATGAGGTAACCGAAAATACCATGACTTGGGTCAGGCGCATCTTAGTCCTCAAGCTACATCTTTGCTCTTCAACACTTTAAAAAGGTCTTGTGCAACAGATTTGCCTAATGCAGTACATCATTTGATTTCTTGACTGCTGCTTCCATGAGTGTTGATAGTTGATCCAAGAAGAATGAAGTCCTTGACAACTTCAATCTTTTCTCTGTTGATAAGAATATTGTTTATTGGTCCAGTGGTGAGGATTTTTGTTTTCTTGACATTGAGATGTAACCCATACCAAAGGCTGGGCTCTTTGATCTTCATCAGTAAATGTTTTAAGTCCTCTTTATTTTCAGCAAGCAAGGTTATACCATCTGCATATCGCAGGCTGTTAATGAGTCTTCCTCCAATCCTGATGCCGTGTTTTTCTTCATAGAACCCAGCTTTTCGGATTATTTGCTCAGCATACAGGTTGAATAAGTAAATTTGTTGTTAGCTGCCATTAAGTCAGCTCAGACTCACGGAGACCTCATATTTAACACAATGAAATACTGTCCAGAGTTCCAATACTGTATTGAACAATAATACTTTGTTGTTATCCATAAGATTTTAAAAAATAATACAATTTTTCTTTATTGTTGTGTTGAGAATATATACAGCAAAACCTACACCAATTTGTTTACATGTACAACTCAGTGACCTAGCGATAGCGTTTCATCAACTCTTTCACTGTAGTCTGTATAGAAGTTATGTGGAAACCTGTCTACCATGGGTGACTCTGCTGGTATTTGAACTATCCGTGGCATAGCTTCTACCCTCACAGCAACATGAAAGCCACCAGAGTATGACAGGGACTGTTGTTGCTGTTGTTACGTGCTGTCAAGTCAGTTCTGACTCATAGCAGCCCTGTATAGTAGGGCTTCCAAGGTTTTAAATTGTTGCAGGATCAGAAAGCCTCAGTTTTCTGCTGATAGTGGCTATTGGCCTTGCACCAGTGACCTTGTGGTTCACAGTCCAGTGTTTATCTTACACAGTCACTATGCTCTGCATTGTATCATTAAAAAGTCAAATGATTTTCCAATGTATTGTGAGAAGGATAAAAAATATATACTGTTTATTCCATTGACGAACAAGAATTCTAAGGAGTTTCAAAAACTTGTTAAAATTTACCTCAAGGAAAACTGTATATATAGATATATATACAGAGCCCTGATGTGGTGCTGTAGGATAAGCACTGGATTGCTAACTGCAAGGTTGGTAGTGCAAACCCACTAGTTGCTTCTCAGAAATACTATGAAGGGTTGCTATGAGTCAAAACTGACTCCAGGGCACTTAACAACAACACACACATACATTTATATATATATGGAGTCCTGGTGTGGCACTGCAAGATAAGCACTGGACCACAAGGCTGGTTTGAACCATAAGGTTGGTGATTCAAACCCACCAGCCACTCCTCAGAAGACCTATATAGGGTCACTATGAGTGGGAATCAACTCAATGGCACTTAA